TTTTAAAACTAAACCGTTCCTTCCAGACGAGTGTTTTAGCTCAGAATCAGGAAAAAATCTCAATCCATAATAAAAAAGTACAGATCCACCAGTAAAGTCGACCACGGTGGACAACACTGTGGTACATTTGTCCGAATGGCGGCCATGTGGTGTGTCCTGAGCAGGAAACTGTGATTGGTTGTTGTCACTATGACAATCATGCCGCATCAAGCATCAGGCACGCCCACCGTCAAGTGTCAAAGCAGCGTTGAAAGTGTGAGAGCTTTGCTGATATTGGTTGTGTTCGTAGATTCAGCTCTCGTCACTGGATATAAACTCTGCTGATCCACACTGAGGATGACGCCTGGTTCAGGTCTGAGCACTGACAGTTAATAATCCAACCAGAGACCTGGTTCATCTCCTGCTCACACATGATAGAACAATAAGAGCAGAGAGGAGATCTAAAGCTGCAGGAGAGCCACAGTGACACAGTGAGGATCACGGGTGGTCAGTTTAATGATTATTAAAATGTTTCCCAAAACTACAATATACACGGAGAGCAGATCAACTAAAGAGGAACTGGGCTGGACTGAAAAAATAGAACAACTATCAAATGATTGCATTATTCTTAAAACCCAGTAAAAGTGCATTTGGTGGAATGTGTGGAAGAACTGGACATCGTTTAGTTTTTAAAGGCAGATGCTGTTGACACCTCGGTGTTATTCTGTCCTGGACGACTTCTGAGTCACAGAGATGAAGTTTCCAACCTCTTCGTTATTCAGACTGTCACTCTTTACACGACCTCGGCTGACTTTCTGAAGTCTTTCAGACAGAAGGTTGTGTTTGAAGCACTACAGTTCTGCTTGAACATGGAAGAACCTCAAGTTTCCAGGAAGAATTAAGAGAAATACTCGTAACAACGTTGGTATAATTTATCAGATATAACACAATCATCCAGGATTCGTAGTGAACTGAAATCAATTCATTCTGCACTTTGTGACTCAGATCAGGATCACTGTACGACATTCAGCCCTAATGAGGAAGAAGCAGCTGGCAACACGAAAGCAACAACACATCTCGAGGAACACCCGAATCCTGTTTCAGCACAAAACATACAACATGAGTTGAGCACATACTGAAACGGTTGAACAGAATGTAAGTGGAAGTGCTGTGAAATCTGAATTATGTGTAATCTGACTTAAATCCACACAAAATAGAACTGTCTCTATAATAATGTTGAACAATACTGTTCAGTTGAGAAGTTCAGGCTGAGCCGTGTCTCTGACATCTCTGACATGATCCTCGAAAACAACAACCTGCAAACTCCAGCAGCAACATAATGAGATCCCAAATAAAAAGACGCCTCGAGGCTGAGAATAAAACCAAACCATGAAACTAAGCTTTTCCTCCGTCTGGATCTACGGCGAGCAGCTGGACCCAAACACCTCGTTTCCACACGTCACTGTTTCAGCAGTCAGATTCAACAGAAAGGCGTTTATTCGTCATGTTCAGTTCACATCAGGAGAATCTACAATTGAGAAATACCAGTGAAAGGAAATGTGCAGTTTAGATCAACGTACATGTTTTACCAGTCTCAGGTCACCTTTGACCTCTGACATCTGATCAGTTCATGTGAGTGTCAGTGAAATGAAACTGGTTTGGGTTTTGTGAGGTCACAGTGACCTTTAACCTCAAATGTAATGAGGTCCTCTTTAAGTACAGCTGAACATTTGTACCACATTTGAAGAACTTCCTTATCACGTTCACATTAACTGCAGACGTTCTGCCTGCAGCTGTCGTAAAGAGGACCTTACTAGAGCGGACGGATTATTGTCCCTCCCCGAACGCACATGCAGCTGATGGTTCACCTCTGTAGTTGGAACGTGAACAGTGATCAGAGTGCTGCATCAGCAGCCACTAACAGCCTGCATCCATCAGGACTCTACACCTGAAGTTACAGAGGACTCAGCTTTATTGATTAGCTGTGTGGCTTCGTCAGCTGCTCTGAGCTCAGCACACGGCACAAGATTAACAGCCCTGGCAACACGTCACAGGACAGGACAAAGGACAGGGGACAGGAGACAGGACACGCTCTGTCCCATCATCACTCTTCACGGTCTGTGATGAATAATAAAGTGTCAAAGGAATGTTGAGATCATGCAACGGATCCAAACCTACGTTATCAGAGCTACAACATGTGTTGATCTTCAGAGGTTCAATATGAAACAGTATTTTATAAATCTTGATTTGTAATTTGTTTCTCAAGTGTTTAAATAGTTCATCAGTGAACACTTAGTTTTGATTCCAGAGTTTTAAACTGATGCTCATCTCTTTATTGATGAATCTGTCTCAAACCGTTCAGATGAATTATCTCTCAGCCGAGTCCGTTAGTAAAAACAGTGACACTGGTTACCACAGACTTTACAGGGATGTGGTGTGGGTGAGAACAGATCACAACACATGTTGGTGAGGATCCAGGAGATTTCTCTTTCTTTAGTAACAGTGAGAGAAATATTTACATTTTACTGATATCTCAGAATAAATCATGGATCTTTGTGACGAGGATCACACTTGTTTATGGAGCTGATGTGAATGTGTATGAAATGTGGTGCAGCTTGTTTGAACTGTTGAGCATCCAGCTCTCCGTCCATTACTGCATCCACAGTTGCTCCAAACTCTTGTGAACTTTTACCAGAAAGCTACGGCCTCTGTCTTCCAGCTCATCACACTGCTCGCTCATTATAACCAGGTAGAGCGCACAGCGTCTGGTCATGAACCCAGGGGCAGCTCCACTGCCCGGCCCAGAGTGAGCACAGCCCCACCAGGTCTGCTTCCAGTGCTTTTATCATAATCAACTGCTTATGGTGACGAGTTTGACCCCAACTGGAGGAGGAGGTACAAAATGTGATGGCACGAGGAACATGTGTGATGAATGAATCTCATTCAGTTGCATTGTTTTACGTCCTCATTCAGTCTCACTTCATCATCAGAGTCCAAATGACAGGAAACCTCCTTCTCTGCCGTTTCTTTTCTTCCTCGACATCCAGCCCTGCTGCATCTCTCCAGGATGTTCTCACCACTGTTTGTATTTGTCCTCAGTAACACTGCCTCCTCATGCATTCCCACTATTAACACTGAAAATATATGGAGAAAAAAAAACACGTCCACATCCACGTTCATCATCACGTTCAGCCACCGTCAGTGTCAAGGCCACAATACAGGAATCATTCAGCAGATGTCACACTGGGTAAGCAGGCGGAATCATTCTGTTCAACAGAACAAGTCAAACACCCGCAGACACACTGAAGTTCACCTAGGTCCTGTCCCTGTGAATGGATTTACCAGAAAGATTAACATGTGCTGTATGTATCGTGTTCTTGTTCACAGATCTGATCCCGGACGCTGCTCCTGAGTTAAATAAGTGACATGTTACTGGAATTAAAACTCGTGGCAGCACTGAATGTAGATTACAAACAGTAAGCACTGCACTCCGAGAATTCACTCGTGTGGAATCATCAGGTTTGTCTCGGACCAGCTCTCAGATCTGCTGCTGTACGTCTAGAATGTCTCACCAGTACATGATACTGACTGGACTCTCTGCAGATGCATCAATACTTTAAGTGGTAAAGGCCTGTAGTCATGAAGAGCTTTTCTAATGACCACTCAAAGCTCTGTACACAACTACATTCACACAAACACCTCTTCTCTCACACATGGATTCATGTCAACAGACACACAACATATAAGTACACAGTGAAAAGGCCCATGGTAGATAGTACATGGTAGATAGTACATGTAGATAGTACATGTATCTAGTACATGTAGATAGTACATGTAGATAGTACATGTAGATAGTACATGGTAGATAGTACATGTATCTAGTACATGGTAGATAGTACATGTAGATAGTACATGTAGATAGTACAGTGTGTAAGTAGTGCACAGTAAGTACAGGGATGCTCTCTGGCTGAGGGTTCAGAGGAGGCTGCACCTTGTCCTGTGAGACACAGAGACAGCAGAGACATGGAGGAGACTTCTTGAGGTCAACTGGCATCACAGCTTCAGTTTCTCTGTGGGCTCTGTCTGTCTGTGGGCTCTGTCTGT